ATTTGAGTATAAGAAAGTAAAAATAATCTTAGAAGAAAGTAAAAATAATTTTCGGACTTTACTCTTCTATTTTTCTTTTTTTCTTTTTTTTCCTCTCTTCTTCATACAAAGCAAGTCTATATATAAGCCAATAAAAACTGAATATTATATAAATAAACTTAATTAAAGATTCATAAATTAAGTAAAATATTGAACAAAATCTATTAATTCTATAAATATGATGGTTCCATAAATAAAATTTAATTCAATAAATAAAGTTTAGTGATTCAATAAATAGAATTTAAAGGGTAAAAAGATCAAAATAAACTTTGATTTTATTTATATAGTTTATAATAATCTCTTATTTTTTCACTAGAAGCCGGAAAAGTAAAAAATTATTGTTTATGTGTACTGGAATACCAGATATACCCCTGCCACCACCAGAATTCAGAGTCTTTTTTTTTTTTTTCTAATTTTTGGAAGGTAAGGGAATTCTCCCCTCGCCTTCATTCAGGTTCAGGGAAGCAAAAAAATGGAGCAAGAGAAGGAGAAGGAGAAGGAGAAGGGGAAGGGAAGCGAAGAGAGATGGAGCGGAGCCATAGCTAATCTGACGGAGATGGCTTCCAATCTCGATTCTCTCCAGAAACTACTACTCAGGAAAGCCGTCTTTGTCGACGAAGAGACCTTCGCCAAAGCTTCTCTTACTTCCGAACAAGCCCGAACAATTAAGGTATATTCATAGCTTCACCTTCTAAATCTGAGCTATCTATTTAAACTACTGTTTGAATTTCATAATCTTAAACTTGATCTTCTTATCTCACAATAGAAATTCGACTCTCCCAACCTGCCCTCGTTTTACAAAGATTTAGAGTTCCGCCGAGCCAAAAAGAACCAATCATATATAAGATTGAGTGTCTAAAATTTTGTCATTTTGATTTGTTATGTGTTGATGATCTGGTTTTAGAATTAAAGATTGATAGTCAGGGTAACATTTGGAGTGTATTAAATTTGGTTCTTGATTATTTTTCTGCTATCCTTTTGGATTTTATGTAATTGGGATAGTCTAAAAGGTTTTATAATAAACTCTTCTGGTGGGGTTTAATTAACAATTTTTATTCTGTTCTACGTAAAATGTATGCAAATTTCTCTATCTTGTTGTATCCAGGTTCTTGAACAAAGGGTGGAGAGGCTGGAAAGAGAGCTGGATGCTGCCATTTCAGCTGCTGCGCGTGCTCGTGCAGAAAAACGGCAGGCTGAAGCAGGGCAAAAGGCTGCTGAATTGCGTGCCCAAGAGGTCACAAGAGAGCTTGAGAACACCACAAGTATGTAAAGTTTATGATTTTGTTCTATTTGATAAAAGATATAAAAAGGGGTAAAGACCATCTATCCCTTAAGGTAACATTAATGTCAGGTAGTTCTTCTGTAAACCATTGAGAGTCTTGTTATAGGATTATCCAAGAAGTCGTAGTCAGCTGTCAGCCTTGCACACACAGTTATTAAAAATTGAGATGACTGCCTTTTTTGTCACTTTCACAAAAGGGATGGAATGTATACTAGAAATTGGAAGAATGATTGCTTTTACCATTCTGTAACTTTGACAAAGGCCTGTCACAGATCAAACATGTCAAATATGTTCTTTACCAAAAAAAAAAAAAAAAAAAGAAGAAAAAAGAGGAGGCTGAGTTGTGATATCTGTTTTTTATAAATGTTTAAATTCTCACAAAACTAGTTTCTTCAATGGAACTATTTTGGTTGTTGCCCATGTTTTGTATTATAAAGACAGCTAAATCAGCTGCTGTGTAATATCTTTTCCAACTTTGTATCATCGATGGTATGTTTAAAGTCTGTCTAAATTTGTGTGTGTGTATGTGTGTGAGCGCACGCGTGCGTGTGCGTGTTTGTTTTGACCTTTGTTTTGCTGTTTTCATAAACATGGGCATTGGACTGCTTTTCCTCACTGAACCTGGTTAGTCTTCCCCTGTAATTGGCTGGCTCCTCTGAATGTTATGCATAACAAGAGAAATTATAGAGAATTACTTGCAATGGAGCCATTGTCACATAGAAACTATTTCTACAAAACTTGATGCATGATCAAATTTTGATAACATTAATTGAGATCCCCTTTAGCGTATAAACTTAACTCTTGTTGTGGTTACTGGACCAATTTTTCTTCTCCTTGCTAGCCCCATTTTTTCCCCTTTCTTTCTAGAATGAACTTTGAAGACAATTGAGCAATTTGAGTGTCATAGATATTTTTGTTCGTGCTTGTAGGCAACCTAGGTTGTGGCTTGTGTATGTTACAAAGTTTACATTTCAGTATTTTTTTTTTTTCGGCCACCAAGTTTACAGGTCAGTTGATCTCACAAATTTAATTCTTGACTGCAGAGATTTTTGAATTACACATGGAAGAGTTGCGAGCAAAGCAGGAAGAAATCACCAGACGTGATAATGAAATTAAACTACTTGAAGCCATAATCCAGACGCTTGGTGGAAAGGAGTCCCATTCTACTAGTGGGTGACTTTCCGTTGTTTGTTTGCATCACAATGCATTCGATTCTTGTAATCTAAGAAATAGGGATGTAACTTATATTCTTACCCAAGTAGTCTTCCCCTTTAACCTAGCTTTTCATACATAAAAATTGTTGATGCAAATTGAAGAGTTCAAATACAAACCAATCTGTCCCACATTTTTTGCCATCAAACCATGTTTCATCAATTTATTCTGCAAGTGAAGCACTTTGTATGGTTGCACGATTCTCTTTAGTAAGAGATTATTTTTCCTTCTTACTTCCGTAAAAAAAAAATAAAAAATGAAAATTTTGTATTATTATAAGCTATAGTTCATATTACATCTCAATAATGCATATATATCAATAGTCATGTAGTGAAGCACTATAAAATTCTACGCAAGTAGATTATCTACCAAGCAATGAAATAAACTTCACTCAAGGTGTTTGCCATAACTTAAACAATCAGTTCATCAGCCAAGACATGAAACCTACCCGGTCCCTTCAAACACATATCCACATACGAAAGACCATCATATGCTTTGTCATGGGGTGCAAAACAAGCATATTCTACTTTGATACATGCTGTACATAAAAACAAAATATCAAACTGCATATATATCTACATGATCAAACAGATAGAGTGAGATTGTACTTTGTGGGAACTTTATACCTCCATGCTTCTTGTTCGATGAACATACCCAAATCACCATCAGAAGTAACCCCGGCATTTTGGTGATCCACACAAGCATTTCTTTCTACCAGATGGAGCGCTGCTAGACTCACCATCTGTGCGAGCAATCCCATAATCATATGTCAACTCTGTCATTGGTGGGATGTGTCTCATTGCAAAAAATGCAATGTGTAGAAAGGATTCATTATTGTGCTCATAAATAACTGGCTGCCAGAAGACATTTGGAGAGCAACTATGATTCATGAATCGAGCAACATTTCCAATGTTCTTTGCACTTATAATTAGAGGAGATGAGATATCATACTCTTCAATTGGAGCAGGGGGGCTCTCCTCCTCCATTAACTCAGGTTCAAAATTCCACCTGAATGATTGATAGGTATGACTAGTATCAAAAACATGATCATTATTATCACCATCTTCCCCATCCTGCCTGGTATTGCTTTTGTCAATTACTTCACCTGCATATTCACAAATAAAAGTACCTGCACGAATAGGATCCCATGACTGCAGTCCCCAACCCCTGTCTCTTGTCTTAAAAACCTCCAGGCGAACCTTCAAACCAGTCTGAGAGACTCTGTTTTTGCAATTAGGAAAGCATGGGCATGACAGACCACATTCATGTATTAATGATTTCCGACTTACAAGAACAGCATTAGCAGTATAGGGAAAATCACCTCCATTCTTTTGAACGCAAGAGCAGTTTGTACTTCCAGGACCACATGCAGTGTGGCAGTTGCAGCCAAAAAAAGGTTGTAATAATTTGAAAGATTTAGAGTACTTCAAAGTAGGAAAATATGTAAAATAAGCAGGTCCTTTCTCATCATCAATCTCATTCACCAGTGAAACGGGCATGCTTTCAGCACCTGAGGTGAGGTCAGGAAGAATAAGTCCAGGCCTCAAAGACAAACCTTCTTTCCACTTTTCAATTGACTTCCAAAGAGCAAAAACATCTGGCTGCCCCGGCAACCTCAACAATTTATACTTGAAAATACTGCCACCTGATTTCCCCTTCTCCATCCAAGACGACTCAGTTTTATAGAGTCCATCATATACATACACCTTTGTCTTTGGACTAACAGCATCCTTCATACCCCGGATGACTCTTACTTCATTGCCTCGGTGCAAGCTCGTTTCTAGAGCAAGATTACCTCTTTCAAGCTTCTGATCAGGTGCCTCTTTGTCTTTGAAACCACCTTGACCACTATATATCAAAACATTGGCTTCTTCTGCTTCATCATCATAACCCCCAGATGAAACAATGCTTACAGCCAGTGTCTCTTGCTCCAAGTCACCCCTCACATTTACATAGTCAATTCCACCCATGGTCTGAGCATGCAATCCCACCACACACAACTCTATCCGGAAAAAGAAAATTTCCCCAAATTCAATTCCAGGAACAGATCCAATTCTCTTCTTCATGTTTGTGCGAACCCCTTTGCTCATCAATACATTGCCTGCTTTCAAATCTGCACGCCTAATAATCCCAGATGATGATTCCTTTGCATCTTCTAGTTGACTAAACCGTCTCCGAAGTGCATCAAACCTCATACGCACATTTTCCACCACTTCCTTGTTACCATCATCACGTTCAGCAAAACTAAACCCAAGTTTGAAATCCTTAGTAGACCCTTTTCCAGAAGCAAAACCAGGAGATGAATGCACATTCCGATTTCTCTTCACCCTCTTTTTTGCAGAATGAGGCACTGCTGTGCTAGATGACCGAATAGGAGTAGCAGTTTCAGGTGCACATTGGGATCCCTGTTGCACACTAAAAGGGAAAAATGGAGAAAACCCAGATGGAAAAGGGCCAAATGGAGGTGCACAGATGAAGGATTGGCCTTGAGGCATATCAGGTAACATAGGAACCAAGCTTCGAAGAGGTTTCACATCCAAAACTCTGGACTTATCAAATGAATTTGAAGAAGGGACGCCATTTCCATCTGAGCTGCCTTCCATTACAGGCCTTTTTGAAATTTGAACCAAAAAACCAATACAAACAAGCCCCAATCAGACTTTTCCTCTATTCCTCAAATCAAAAGCAGCCCACCTTGAGCCACAATGCAGAAAACTGATGTAACGTGCTATTAAAAGAACAGAAAGCAAAAGAAACATAAAAGTTGGGTTGCATGAAATACACAGTACAACACAGAAAAATGAAAGTGAAAACAAGATTAAAAAACCAAAGTCTGATCACGCAAAAATCATTTTTATATATAAACTAACTCCTCACTCATCATCTACTTTTAAGTTTTATCATCTTCATCTTCAAGGCATGTTTACACACATAAAATTCTACAGCGTATTGTGTGAAACTTGAATGCCATATTTTCAATTTTGGAGACAGGTGAAACATCTGACTCCATACAAACAATGAAATGAAATATGGATGCCTTCTACAAATACCCACCTCACGTAGCTACCAATCTACCATGTGCTAAATGTTAAAGAAAACAAAAAGACCTTGCCTTTTCTCACCTACACCATGAATTTTCTAGCAGGCCTACTAGTTCCCATTTTGACCCAGATAACAGCACCATCTCATCCCAAATAACTTCCGCAAATAATTCACCGAAGAGTACAAGTATAATCAACAAGCTCTAATTTTTTTTTTATATATACATTTTCCCATTTTTCTTAAAAACACGTTGCTCCTGAATCGTAGAGAATTACGAAAATCCAAAATCCAAGCCGTGCATGACTTCCTCCTTTTGAAAACTTAGGAATTCAATCAGGTCTCAGTCTCAAGACTTAAACCCTAGGTTACCAGCACAGAACAGTGACATAGAAGGACAACATTCAAAATTCATTCACCAAACTAACCAGTAATTCCCAGAGCATCCCGCTGTCAAGACTAAGACTAAGGGGAGTAGGAGAAAGAAATGAGGGCCGCCGGAAATGCTCCCGTCCGGTCTTGTTACACCGAGAACACGCACAAAACGGAAGCGGAGTGGCTAAAGAAAGGGTTCCAAGTTCCAACTTCTAAGATTACAGGGTGGGCCTAACACTTTCCACTTAGTACCTTTCAGTTCTAGTTCCACTACCAGGGAAGGAACTGAGTTTTACGGTTTGCCCTTGTTTTTTTTATAGGCTTTTTTGCAAGCAAGCTCCAATTTGTTTGGTCCATAAGTTAAAAGGCCGAATCAAGATTGGTTCATAAGTTAAAAGGCTCATATTAGTTTTGAATCAAAAGTTAAAGGTCCAATTGTTTACATTGCTTGCTTACGTTTTTTTATTTTTTATTTTTTATGTAGAAATTTTTTATTAAAAAAAAAAAGTGAATATCAACCATAATTCTGAACAAAAATTATATTCTTAATTTAAGAAAAAAAATTATATATCAATTTTAATTTTAAAAAATTAAAATCTTAACATTAAATTATATTATTTTATTTAATTAAAACTTAATTTAAAATTTAAAAATTTATTTTATTAATTATTAAAATTTAAATTTCAAAATTAATTTTATTTTTAAATATAAATTAATATTTTATTTTATTTTTTTTTAAATTAGAACTGATTTACACTGATTTCTTTTAAGAAAAATAAAAAAAATAAAACAACTTTTCGATTAATATTTTAAAAAGTCAATCTCTCTTTCTCTGTGGAAATGAACAGAAAAGGTATGAAGTGAAACCATCCCCTTTGGTTGCATGGTAATAACAATAATATCACAAAAGCAGAAACTCTATCATGAGAGAAAATCTGTTCAGGAAAATAAAAAAAAAAAGGGAAAAAGAAGAGGCAAAATCTACATAAAAGGGGACAAACTTTTACTATCTTATCACTCAAGTGGCTAGAAAATAAGAAGGTACGATGAAAATTTCTAAAGCATATAATTCACAGAAAATACAGAAACAACAAAAAACCTCACAATACGAAGAAACAACCATCACTGGTGCAAGCAAAAGACAGCTCTTCTGACTACCCAAAAAAAAAAAAAAAAAAGACAGCTCTTCTGCAAGATCTTAGATCGTGAGGCTTGCAGCTTGCTTGACTTTCTTGCTGAAAAGTAGTAAAATATTAAACAGGAGTTGGAAGTTGATCGTATCTGCAAAACTTTGGCGCTAGCGGTTGTTAGAATGGGGCTGATGATGTTCTACGAAGCTGATATTTTGGCTCAAGTGGTGGGGCACTTGGGAGCATCATCTCCAGCTCCTAAAAGTTAACACAACATATTAAAGTGCTGAGAAATATGGAACACAATGTAAATGCATGAAACACCCTTATTCTTAATAGCCAAAAAAAAAAAAAAAAACACCTTTGTTCTTAAACCCATCTTTATCGTCATATAATGGATACCTAATGCAATTTTTAAAAGGAAAAGAAACCAATCATCCTTTTATCATGACTGATTTCAAAGTGATAAATCTAGCTAACAGAAACGTGGGAAGCTATACTTGGAACCATCTCGGACTACAGGTGTGACAGATTCTGAAAGCATGGTATTGGCATGATAATGAAATCCTAGTATTCAGAAGTTTTCAAAATGAGCACAGTAAACTTCTCATATACTAAGGAAGACCAGATTGACAAAAGGAACTCATGTAAGGAAATTCCAAATTCAAAATCAAGACAAGTACACCTGAAGCTGATTTTCCTATTCCTGTTCTTTGTTACTAAGAAATATTTAGTATCCTTCTGTAACAGCAGATGTTATGTTATATTAACTGAATTTGCATTATTAGGATATCAATCAAACTCTAACGATTCAAGTTGTTTGCAGTTTCAATGTTAACAATACAATACAACACAAACTAGGACAGCCTATGGAGGAGACTCTCATCAGAAAATGAGACAGAAAAATACATATTCCAACATTTCAAGCATTTCATCCCAACATCAAAGGCTTCAATATCCTGTAAAGAACATGAAAACCAACAATCTTCTACTTATAGACATTTGAGAGGATAAAATGGCCACACTCCTTGCTAGATGACAGATATCAAATTGTTTCAATGAATCTAGCTTAAAACTTTCTATAAATTTTTGAGATAGCTCAATTAAAATCATAGTTTTGAAGTGGATCCACAGCAAATAATTCAAGTGGCTCATTGGTAGCTTTCAAGCTAGTAGCTTCCAAACAGAAAGCTGTCTCCATTAAAGAACCACGAGCATCATCACATGAACACATAGAAAGGTTGAATTTTATCTTCAAAAACTCTGAATTTTCTCTTTCTGAAGTTCTTGTCATACCAATCTGAATTCTAAGAAGATTTCTTTAGCACCTCCAAATCACTTAAAAAATTGATTCTTGCCACATCTCACGTCCCCATCTTCAGCAAGAACTTATTTAATATATAGTTCCCAGATACAGTCTGCCAATCGCAAACATGTTGATATCTTTTCTACATGGGCCAAACCCTCTATTTGCACTCTACACATTATTTTTTTCTGCGGTCAACACCCTCAAGAATTTTTACTTCCAGTCAACACCCTCCATAATTTAAAACCCATAAAAAACCCAAAAATTAAAGGTCAAACCCCCTATTCGCACTCTGACTTCTTTGGTAATTTGGGGTTCTTTGCAGGTTTCAAATTATGGAGAGCATTGACCAGGAGTGAAAATTATGGAGGGTGTTGACTGTGAAAAAAATTAATGTGTAGGGTGCAAATAGGGGGCTTGGCCTTCTACATAATGTTGTCTAAGAGTATCCTAAACTATTTTTGAGATCAGAACTCCATCATAAAGCATCATAATAAACATTCCAGTGCACAATGGCGCACTGAGCATGATAAGTAATCTACTACTGTCCAGAGAGAACATTTACTAATTATTGTCCTTTTACTATGTTTGTTTTTGGTATAAAGTGAAAATTTTTGCTAAACTAGCTTTCCTTACTATAATTATTGCAAACAACAAACTTGGACAGATGCATGCTTAGCCATTTCATAATAGATAATACCACAGACAAACACATTATGCAGACAAATACTCTGAATCAGATGTCAGTGCAAGAAAAATGTGTTTCCCTTGAAATCAGTAATTGGTTAATTACAAGAAAGGGTCAAGTGCAGACAAACTAAGTCATATGAAAATTTTCATTCAAACGGTTCTCACTAGCAACAGAAGAGAACTCAATCCTTTAAGCTTTTGGAGAGTACGCAAATCCTTGCAGGGCCAGAAGAGGAACATGCATGATTGTTTTATGACAGACAAAGATGAGCTAGAATAGTTTATATCTATATTATAGGTTAGTCAAATACACTTTTTGCACATAATGCAAATTCACTCTCAACTTCAAGAAGAATAAAAAAGAGAGAGTCATGAATTGGAACAAAACCACATAAACACATATACAGCAACCATGAGAAATGTAAGTCTAACTCCTGAAAGGGAGGTGTTTTCAGAAATGGTCAAGCAACTCTAACCTTTCGTTTCCGAAGCCTTTCATTTTCCTCTTCAAGACGAGACACTTTGTTCTCCAATTCATTAGTATAAGCCTGTTTATGGTAGTCTTTCAGGTCACTAAACAATCAAGAAAAGGATGTAAAGTAAAATAAAATAAACATCCAAGGAGAAAAGAAAAACAAAGCAGAATGGAAGCTAACCTGCTTCCTAGCTCGTGAACGAGCTGCAGATTCTCTATTTTTTATCATCCTCTTCTGCCTCCTTTCAACGTTCTTCTCAATCAGGTCCTCTGGGGCACCTCTTTTCCTTCCAGATGTTTGTGCATCAGGCAATGTTCCCATTAAAGGTGGAGGTATTGCAACCTGGTTCTCTGGGTATGAGACATCCATTACAGCAGGAGTTGCAGCCACCATAGGTAATGCCTGTGGCATAGGCTGAGCTGGCAAATAAACTCCCATCATGCTCTGTTGTGGATGCTGATATTGCAGATGTTGGTACTGCATCCATTGACCTTGTTGTGGAAACTGAGGTGCAACACTAGGATCTGCCCCAGCAACAGAACCACCAGATTGTTTATCTGCAGATGCTTCGGCAACAACCCCTGCTTTTACCAAAAAATCCTCCAAAGTCATCTCTCCAAGAGTAGGCTGTCTTTCCCGATACTGTTTTTTCCCGTCACTTTTGCTTTGTTGAATATCTCTCCAAACCTCATCCACTGTCTTCTTGCTCAAAGCACCAGTTATTGAAAGGCTTGCCTGACGTTGTAGAACAGTTTGATTGGCCAATTCTGGTCCCTCAGTTTCCACACCCATAGATTGATTGGCCTCAGCTGTCCAAACATTCTTGAGAAGCTCATCAAGGTTCATACTGCTTAAAGGCTTCCCCAAGTCACCCAACTGATTTTGAACCTCATCTAGAGTAAGACTGTACATTGAATTTTGCCGTGCCAATGGCTGGAAGTGGGATTGTTTGCCATTATTATTATTATTATTGTCACCTTGAGATCCCATCATCTGAATCCCCATCCAACAAGTGCTACCTTATGAGGTCATTTAAGGAGTGTCCAAAACTCAAATTCCTTGACCAAAAGCTATATCAACCCCAAAGCCAGTCCTAAAATAGAATTACTGCAGGGACAGGACCATCCAGTGTTCACACTTAGCTTAACAATTAGAACCTGAAAGTCCATCTGAATATCAGACTCGGTAATACATTAAACTGAATCAGTTCAAATGATTTGAATAATCAATCTAAAGAACCAAACAACATTTACACGACAAAAAGCTTAATCTTGTTCCTCAGTTCTTTATAGATTACTAAAATTAAAGAGTCCAAATATATTGCATCAAAGAACACAACATGGATAGCACACTTCAGAGCAAACGCCCCCAGTTCTTGTTATCCTAAACCCGTAACTCAAACCAAAAGGAGCAAGAAAGATTAAAAGGTAAACAAACAAAAACATAAATTTTTTCTTTTTTTTGGGAGGGGGGGTGCGAAAATTATGTTCCTACAAACTGGAGATAATAAAAAAAAAAACCTAAAACACAAGAGGAAAAAAAAAAAAAAGATACAAATTAACTGAGTTTTCCAAATCAAACCCAGAGTAACAACCCACAATCCATGAGAGGGAAAACACTCCAGAAATAAATCAGACCCACCAATCCACTAATCAAATGCTACTAAATAAGCACCAAAAATATGCCTTCTCCAGCACAGTTCCTTTAAAAAAGAAAACTTGATTCCAAAAGCCCAGCAAAAAATTTGATTCAGAGCCCCCCCCCAAAAAAAAAAAAAAAACTCACAATTTGTTGCATGCAAACAGAAATGGCAAAAGTACAGCATCCATTTCACTAAACCCCTTGAAACCCAGAACGAAAAATCTCAAGGATTCACCTCTATCACATTCACACCATAACCCAATTCCAGATTGGGGGAAAAACCACTCTGCATGAACGAATTTGAGGCTTGCAGTGCTAGCAAAGAAAACCCACAAACAAATCAGAACGAAAAAGGAAAAAGGAACCCAAAACAGGATCAAAGTCCCACAATCAAATGGAAAGATAATAATAA